GGACCCGATGCTTTGGATAGGGGTCTTTGGCAGCAGCATGTCTGGGAGCCTGCAGATCACGTCTGTCAATCTTGAGCCTGGGCCGGGGCCTCTCCGTGCAGTTCCAAAGACGTGAAGACACGCTTCGGTCAGCTCGGTCAGGGTGGTGGGGCAGCCCCGACGTCCGTGTCGATCGGCTTCGCGGCTGTCGGTAGTCGGCTGCCGGCTGCGGGGTTAGCCCGATGTCGCTTGATACACCGAGATCCTTGGCTCCAGTTTCCGCAGCCGATGGCTGCAGTTGTCTGGACATTGATGACATTCCGAGTCCACTCTATTGCCGCCAGACTCCACCAGCAACCAAGTTCCCGAAGACTAGTTCCTGAAGATCCGCTGGTGCGGAACACCATTGGCCAATGATGGCAGTGACTATTCTCGTCTCATGAATCTTTGTCTCCATGGAGTTTCGTCCACTTTGTTCCACACCCAACATCGAGAAGTGAAAACTCGGATTCTCCCCTATGACGCCAGAGGAGGCACCCGAGGGGACTTCTCGTTCGACAGAGCGGCAGTTGTACAGCGGGTCTCCATCTGAATGTGATCAAGCGTACGACCCTTCGCGCGTGTGGCGAGGTTTTAGAGTCGAGGTCTTGCGTTCTGGTGCCATATTATTTTTTATTTTTTTTGGCGACGAGATGAAGAACCGGAGCTTCTTGTTATCTTATCAAGCGTTTTGGTAGAACTGAGCCTTGACTGAGCGGATTCTAAATTTGACCCTTTTCAAAAGTGTCTAAACTGCTCGAAAGCACAAAGAACTGCCCCCGTGCAAAGCTTCTATTTGCGATGTTACTTTCAACGTGCCGATATCAATGCAGTGTTCTACTCTTATTTCAGGGTAAGCGTACTGTAGTCATTGGGCTGGTGATATACCAAAGATGCGCATGCATGTCCTGGGAGGTCCATTCATGAGTAGCTTGGTTGGAACATTGAAGAAACCCCAGATTTGCTCGTGGGCCCGATCTCTCACAGCTCGATGTTCTCGAGGACGCAGCGCTTGCAGATGTCGGCTCATTTCGAGTTTGATCCGTTTGACAACATTGGCCTCGGGACCAGATGTCTCGTCCCTCCCCTTGCGTGAAGTTGTCTGCCGACCAGACCATGACTTGGCTTTGATAGGCAGATAAACATCTGTCTAGGTTGCCGCATCTTATCAGCAATCGTTGTCCAGTCCTTGAGTGACTGACATGAGCTAACCGCTCATGCTTGGCCGAGGAGTCAGCAGCAGAGAGTTGGACTGTTTATGGGCATCACTTGTCATCTGTGGCTACCTTGGTGTTGATGCCTAAATCGACCTAGTCAACGGAATGTATTGTTGCGCCTCTCCAAGAGATTGTCTGGAAGCGGCGCCCCAAGCGGCCAACCGACGGAACCTGGCGTTTCTGTTGGAGGCTTCGACATGAAAGGTTTCGTGCAACGCGAGCCATGGCGACATGTCAATGATTTCTTTGACCCGTTGGCCTTTGCTCTCACTTCTCAAGATGTGCTGTGTCAGCTCTTCGACCCTCAGGGTCGATTATGAAACTATTGGCATGAACCGATCAATCAGCTTCGAAAGAGGTGTCTACGGCAGCTGGAATGCAAGGTAGTCTGATTGTTCGTCGTGCTTGCGACTTAGGCTTAGCTAGTGTTGTTGTCTTATAGCACATGTCAGGTAATCGCATCAAGCACGGGTTGGATCTACCCATCGAGTTTTCGGATGCGAAAGCCCGTAGGGTACTTGCTTGTCAGTCAGCTTCACGTCCGAGCTGCGTGGCTGGCAGCTATCAACACGGCTGGGGCGCTGTAAAGGCAAATATTGGTCAAGAGTGAGAGGAAAAAAGATCTCGTGGGTGCGGGTTGCACAAGGTTGTAAGAGTTAGGAAAACGGTCAAATGGTTAGCTGTCATTTTGAGCCTCCGAAGAACGCTTGCAGGTAGCTTCAACATTTGATTGCAACACCGTTTGTCATGTTGTGTGCAAGCCGAAGTGATGAAGTCATCGTTCCTCGCATAGTCTCTGCGCAACATTAGCTGGAATGTCGTAGTATTGAAGGTAATGCCAGACCAACGAAAGGCCCGAAGCGAGCAATTTAGCGCCTGAGCCAATTTGCAACTGACATTGCAGACACCAGATGCTGAAATTTGTTGTTTTTTTCATTGAAAACGCGTACGGAGAATGCAAAGGCAAGAGATTGCATGCAAATGCTCGTTTCCTCAGTACCTAGCTGCATGGACAAGCGGAAGCTTTGCGTGATGGAAGCCATCACCCTAGCCGAAGATGAGGCAACTCAACTAGCAGCAGCGTTGACACTTGGTGGAAACGACGAGGACTTCGAAAGTGGCCAGACCTGATGGTTAGGGCCTGTTGAACCAATGAAGCTGCGGGATGTGAGAGATGGAGCCAAGGTGCCAACGAATAGTCGGGAGATGGACACGCAGATCTGCGGTGAGTAGTTTAATGGCGTTTGGCAGCAAGAGAGAATCAGGCTATCCCGGCTTGGTTATGCGAGCAAACGATCGGATTGGATACTAAGCATCGTTGGTAAGCTTATGGGTGGTTGGGGACAGGCCCCGAGTGGAATGGGATTCCCGCTGCGGTGGAGCGAGGTGAGGGGTGGAGGGGTTTTCTTCTCGAATCACGAAAGCAACGGTCAAGGAAACACCAAATGATCACGCCCGACATTGCCGGTGCAGTGCTCATCGAGACGTGCAAAACCGAATCCGTTTGGAACGGAATAGACGGCTATGGGGAACGCCAATGCTGGTGTGCCTGATGCACACGTGCAGTGCCTGACTCTGGGGAGACTGTGCAAGCCTTGATTTTGACGAATAGTGAGACTTTCGGACGCCGCAACGGACGCCTCAAGCTGCGCTTACATCAGATTGTTCCGTCTCAGCGGTGACGAGAGGCTCAAAATTGGCGGTCGGGTGGCTGGTTCCAGTCCGGTTGAGAGATTTCGAGCTAGGTGGGTCCCGCGTCGTTTTAGAGAAGCAGCTCACGGCAGAGATGTTATGGCCCTCGAGGACCGCGGCGATAGCGTTGTCCGAAGAGAAGATTAGGGTCCGAACGGTGTCTGAAGACGGAGACATCCGGAGACTGGAGAGCGAGATGATCTACCAACCAAGCTCCTCGGAAGATTACCGGCTGGGCAAGAGGAAGAAACATCGGGACGATCCAGACTTGGCCGGCCATGTCAGTTCTGGCAGGATGTGCAGGCCGACAGATAGAGGAGGGATAAGATAACGTTGATATGTAGATGCACCTGTGCGGTGCCGCCGGAGCATGGGCCAATGCCAGCTCACAGAGCTCCAGCGGTACGTACTGACAACAAGCTTAAAAGCGGGTAAGAGGTGGTGGCAATTGAACGACACCCCTGTCTTGTTCGGTCCGAACGATCCGCATGTGTTTCTCACAGGGCCCGAGACGGACTTTCAGGGCTTGTTCCTGTAAGATGCCTGAACATGAGGGCTGTACAAGGTATCATCGCCCGATCATCACGTTCCGATACTTAATGCCTTCGCAGCAGAGTTACCAACATGTCGGAAGCATGGCTCGGTGGCTCGGTGGGATAACGATGCTACCGATTTGTTGAAGATGCTTTGTTTTTTGTTTCTTCTGCAAGTGTCACTCGCGATAAGATCAGGACCCCGTGGGAATTGGCGGTTGCTTGTGCGAGACTGGCATGTGTCAACATGCTTAATTTTTCAGACTTTTCCTCCTCAGATGGGTGGTGAGCGCACTGCAGTTGCCGCCATTGTTTGGCTGGACCCGTCCAAGTATTATTTTAGTCTGCGCCTTCCGTTCACTTAGTCGCACATGTTCCCTTGCGTGCTCGTTCATAAGCTTGAGATAATAAAAAAAACACACTCGCTGTTCAACGCTTACCGTCTTGTCCCGTTCTGGCGAGGCAACCCCTGCTCGTATCCCGGTTTCGACCAGTTTCGGGCAAGTCGTACGTGTAGTAGTTGCAGAGAAAAACGGCCAGGAAACACCCCCCATGTCAATCTACGGTTCCAGTCCAGGGCCCATGGCATGGCATTCCAATCCAGACACGAGCTGTTCTCGCACTCTCGCTACCTCTATTGCCGCCCGCCGCACCGCTGTAGAATCATATGAATACGAGCTCCGCAGCCATTCGCTCCCCCATGCCACCGTTCGTTCATCTTGTTCTTCCCCAGAACTGATGATGGACCCTGACCTGATCCTCATCTTCGACCCTATCCTGAACTATTTCAGTCCCAAGTGACGAGCCCACGCCTGCACTTTCCCGCTACCTCGACTCGTCCCTGCTGCTGACGGTTACCTTGTTTGGCTAAATCACACACAAGCATCCAGCCCGCCGGCCCACCCTTGCCGTCGGTTCTGTCACCGGTTTGAGGAGATTCATATCCATCAAAGGGCCGCACCCCCTGCAAACCAAGTAATATCTTGTACTCTCCTCCCGCCACTGGTGTACACACCCTTTTCGACACCCTCTCCTGCGTCCTTCAACGCACACCGAAAACACATCAAACGTTGACAAAGATTCCCATCATTATCACGACGACTTCGCCCATTGCACGAGTGCGTTGCTGCCACAGTAGAACATCGCAACGACCTCCAGCAGAAACGTACCAGTTGATTTGAGGCCTCCAGTCTGGACATCCAAAACAGCTCCATTTCTTCTCGGAGAGAGACCCTGAGCTCTCCACCATTCGCCAAGGCGGAGTCCGCTGCCTCGGGAAGCCCGTCCACGACGTTCCCGCGCTCTCCGGCCGACGATAAACATCGACGAAATCAAAGCGTCGACAACGCTGAAGACCTCCATGCCTCTTGCCTTCGTTACTCGGCCCCTTGTTCGATACGCCCTAGACACCATTGCCCCGTCCGCCAGATAATAATTCCTCACCGATCCGGTCTGCACGAACATCACAGCATCTCTCGGGCACACAGGCCCCACGAGCCCCGACTCGTCTTCCCGCTTCCCTCTACGCTGATTGCCCACGATGGCTCGAGTCCGAGGTCCAACGTCGCTCGCCGCGACGGTAGCTGTTTTGCTCGCCTTCCTCACGACGACTATGGCTGCTACCGAGACTGTCTACGTCACCGGACAAGACAAGGATGGCAACAGCAAAGACCTCGCCGTTAACCGTAGGCCCGGTCTCTATACCGGGGACTTTGGCGACTGTCTTGGAGGGCAGAGCTTGTTCAACATTACCAAATTCGACGCCGCGTACTACGCTGACAACATGACGGTTCAATTCCACCTGGATGGAACCACCAACATCAGGAATGAGTCGTTGATGAGTAGGTTCAAGTCCATTTTCGAACTTTGTATGGAGGCTAATTGTGCTGTAGTGCATATCAACGTCGAAGCTTGTAAGCTAGTTCTGACTCGGGACGAACCTGGGCAACGAGGACAAAGTATGCTGACTTGAGGCAGACGGCGAGACAAGATTCGAGATGAACTTTAACCCGTGCATGGTGAACATTGCTAGGTGCGTCTACGTCCTTGCGTCGTCTGGTCCGATATGCTAACCTTGTCCAGTCTGTGCCCTCTGAACGCCAGCAACCCCATTACCGCGTTTGCCGAGTTCAGACTTACACCAGCTCAGATCGATGGCATTCCATCCATTGCTCTCGACATACCCGATTTTGAAGGTTCCGCCCGGATCCAGATATTCGCAAATTCCAGCCAGACACAGATCGGATGTTTCCAAGCCGTCATGCGCAACGGCAATAGCTTCTCTCACCCGGCAGCGATATCATCGATACTGGGTGTCTTTACTCTAGCCGCCATCCTGGCTTCTTTTGCGACTGCGATATACGGCGTCAGCATTCCTCATATGAGAACACACTACGCCCACTCCTTATCAGTTCTGGTTATCTTCGAGACCTTTCAGACTGTCTTCTTCTCAGGCGCCCTGTCTGTCAACTGGCCCAGCGTTCTGCCAGCTTGGTGGAGTAATTTCGGATGGGCGGCTGGCATGATATACAGCGAGAACATGGTGGGCTCGATCGACGGGTTTGCCGGCGTGACTGGTAATGCCAGCCAAGTAGGTGGCGCAGGATCAACTATTATCAACACGGGTGGTGGTCTTGTACAGCAAATTTACGGCCGCTCCCTCGACGCTCTTTCTACTCCTAGCGATATCGCGCCCATCCAGAACCTCGTACAGCGCGCAGCTCGAGTCTACAACACAAGCAACCCCTACGAATACTACTGGGCAGGTAACCCGGTCTCCCCAGGAATGCCTACGCCAGGCAACTGGGTTGGGTTTGCCGGAGATTTATCCTCCCTGGGCATCCCGGCCGCCGATGCTTTCACTCTGGGTCTCGTTTGGTGGTTGGTTGCAATCGGGCTAGTCACCGTCTCGATCACCCTTTTCAAGTTCACCCTCGACATGCTGGTCGGGGTCAGGTTGCTCAACCAGGATCGCTTCCTCTACTTTCGCAGCCACCTTCGCGGATACCTGGCAGCAGGAGTCCTCAGGACTATCCTCGTTTCTTTCTTTTCACTAATGACTCTGGCGTTGTTTCAATTCAATATCCGCGCCCCAGCCGGCCCAACGGCCATCGCGGCGATTGTCTTCATTCTGTTGCTGGTCGGTGTTGGAGGCATCGTAGCATATGCCTGTTATTTCCGCCTTCGGTTCGGGAAGTACGAAATGGGCACTGACACGATCATGTTTGAACAAGGCAAGCTCTTCGGCTCAATTCCAGCAATTGCAACAACGCGTGCTAGCAAAATTGGAGAGGAGGAAACGACCGCCAAACGCTACGGGTCGATACCCTTCTTCAGGATCCGATTCATAGACGACGATCCTAACCGAACAAGTGTCCACCAAGACGAGGCTTATATCAAAAGGTTCGGCTGGCTCTCGGCTCGGTATCGCCGGACCAGATGGTGGTTCTTTGCATGCTGGCTCAGCTACCAGTTCATTCGCGCCTGTTTCATTGGTGGCGGCGCCCGGAGTCCCCTCGCTCAAGTTTACGGGTTGTTCATCCTCGAAATCATCTCCTTTGTTGTTTTCATTAAACTGAACCCATTCGAGGGGCAGAGAAATACATCTTTGGCGGTCTGGATGCTGGGCATTACCAAGGTCGCCACGGCTGGGTTTTCCATTGCCTTCCTGCCTGATTTCGCCATCGGCCGCATCCTGTCAACGGTCTTTGGCATCATCATCATCGTCATCCAGGGATTCCTCATCGTTGCTGTTTTGTTCCTCGTTGTTCTGAGTGTCATATCGTCGTGGATGTCGCTCTATCGGAATCGCGAGGAGTTCCCCGAAAAGCTAGATGGAACCCGCATCAAGTACTACGAACATATCCAGACCAGAGCCACCGACCTTCCTCCGCCGCCGAAGCCGATCCCGCAAGAGCCTCAGGAGCCGCCGCAGCCGTACTTCTCGGTCAACAACGTCCGCCGGGCGCCTAAGATTGAAGACGACGAAGTCGACGACGTCGACGACGAGGACGAAGTCGGAGACATCATCCGCCCGCAAAGCACCGCGGTGGTTCAGTTTGCGCCTGGAACCAACACCCGACGAACCCGGACGAATAGTGTCAGCTCGCGCTACTCCGTCGGTAGCTTACCGCGTCGCGCCAGACCGCACCGAACCTCATGGAGCTCGGCTGACTTTGCCGCATGGGATGCCAGCGCTGAACACACCGCACCGTCGCTCGCACATCGCAGCAGCTTTAATCATCAGCGTAATGGCTCGTTAAGGCAAAGATCTTACTCCGATTCGCTGAGACAAAGATCTTTTTCCGATTCGCGGCCTGACCTTGGGCACCCTATCAACAACGCGCCGGCCCCTAAGCAGGTAGCATCGGTGAGCGAGTTGCGTCGTATCATGACCCCCACAGAGGAAGTTCCAGAGGAGAGCGTTATGACACCTGGTCATATGGCCGCACCCGAGAAGGTCGACGACAGAGCCAATGATGTTGCCATATCTCCCATCAACGAAAAGGATGAGGAGAAGTACCGCGAAGACAAGGGGGATGTCTCGCCCATCGAAGAGAAGACACAAAAGTCTTGAGACACTGACATCAGTTTCACAACCACACTATAACGCATCGCAGACGTATGCAACTTTGATACCGTCCCGGAACCGGTTTTCTCGCCGTAGCATTCATTGCATTGCATACAACGGGCCCTTGTGGTCTTGACGAAGATACATGAGGAATGATTATGAGGCGTTTGGTTGGAATGGTCATTTTGGAAGAAGAAAAAAACACAGTTTTGCAATGGCACTATGGCTTGGATTGGACCGACGTTCATTCCTGTAATACTCGTGCATACCATTTTCGTGGCATAGTTGAGCCACTAGGTATATAGATACACTTTGCAGACACAAACGGCTGGCTGGTCCTCCAGAGATAGAGATTGAGTCAAACATTAGACCTAGATTATCAGTAGCAAATGCTCATCTTGCAAAAGACTGTTCCGTACGCACATCACGCATGATTTCAATACGATGTTAGAAACGCTTGAGATCATTCTTGATCCAGTCTAATACTACCTAGAGATATGTAACTTTTTGTCTTCTTTTTCCATGCCGTAAATGCAACCAACCATGCACCCTTTACACCCAGATTTTTGTGACCCTACATAACAACCCCACACCCTTTCTACATTTCCTGGCTTACACAAAGCCCTTGAGAACGGCGGCCTCGGCGTTGAGGATGGAGGAGCCGGCGGCGCCGATGACGGTGTTGTGGCTGAGGGCGACGAACTTGATGTCGAAGATGCCGCTCTCGTCCTCGCGCACGCGGCCGACGCTGACGCTGTAGCCGCGGCCGAGGTCGCGGTCGAGGCGGGGCTGCGGGCGGTCGGGCTCGTCGAAGACGATGATGGGGCTCTCGGGGGCCGAGGGGCAGCCCAGGCGCTGGGCGTCGGAGACGTAGTCGCGCAGGGCCTTCTTGACCTCGTCGGCCGAGGGGGCCGGGCGGCGGGCGAACTTGAGCGAGACGCAGGCCGTGTGGCCGTCGAGGACGGGGACGCGGTTGCAGGACGCGCTGACCTTGAGGTCCTTCTGGTCCTCAAAGGCGGTCAGGTCGGAAGTGATCTTGCCGAGGATCTTCTGCGCCTCGGTCTCGAGCTTGTCCTCCTCGCCCGAGATGAAGGGCACGACGTTGTCAATCATGTCCATGGAGGAGACGCCCGGGTAGCCGGCGCCCGAGACGGCCTGCATGGTGACGACGGAGACCTGGTCGACGGGGCCGAAGGCGGCCTGGAGGGCGGCGAAGGGGATGACGAGGCCGATGACGGCGCAGTTGGAGTTGCAGACGAGGAACCCCTTTTCGAGCGAGTGGTGCTTGCGCTGGTGGGGGATGAGGTCGAGGTGGGGGAGGTTGACGGTCGGCACGACGAGGGGGACGAGGGGGTCGCGGCGGTAGTTCTTGGCGTTGGAGAAGACGGCGAGATTGGCCTTGAGGAATTCCATCTCTATAGTCGGCGCGTGTCAGTCATGCTGCTGCCTCTGCTGCTGCGGTCTTTTGGACACAGTCAAAGACGTCGAAGAGGGACGGGGGGGGGGGGGACTCACCAATCTCGCCAGCAACGTCCGAGTCGAGGCCGCTAAAGACGACGTCGCAGTCGCTGAACTCGGAGGCATTGCACTCGCGCACGACGAGGTCGGCCACGGCGCCCATGGGCGAGGCCTGCTTCCACCGCACGGCGTCGCGGTATTTCTTACCGGCGGAGCGGGAGGAGGCGCCCACGGCGACGAGCTTGAGGTACGGGTGCTGCGAGAGGAGGAGGATGAAGCGCTGGCCGACGGAGCCGGTGCATCCGAGGACGCCTGCGTTGGCCTTTTGTCAGTACTGTCGCCTCAATTCATCGTGAAGGTCCCGGTCTGCGATCGCGTGGTTTCGACGTCGAGGCCATCCGGTGACGGAGGCGGGGAGACGATGGCGGGGTGGAGGGGGGCCAACAAGACGTACCGCACTTCTTTACTGGGAATTCGCCCATCGTGGATGGTTTGGTTTAGGAAGGGGAGGGGGTATCGAGGGGTATCAATCGTCAAAAGCAAGAATCAGGACGAACAAAAACAAAAGGCGTTCGTCGATTTGAGAGAAATATGGTGGTGATATAAGAAGGGGAAGATGGAAAGTTTGGCGCGATGTGAGTCAAGACGGTAGTGGCATGTCCGCGGCGGTCCTGGCCCAATATTTTTTGGGGCTTCGAGAGACAAGAGAGAGCGACGTCGGCAGCACCCCGCCATGCCCCGCCATCGGAGCTTGCACTGCTGGGCAGGGGGGGTGATGGTGGGTGGTGGCGAGACCCCGAACCCTTCCAGGGTACCAAGTTGGCTGGATTTCATCGGGAATTGGCTTTTTTCCACGCAAAAAGGATAAACCTGCGGGTTTGGACTGAGACGGCCGGTATTTGCCCCACTTCGCGCCGATGCACCCAAACTCCGTCCTTCAACCACACACCCGCCGTACCAAAGACCGACCGGCATCTGGTCATTGTTCAACGAGTTCGTCCGGTGGTTGGGGAGCTGAACCACAGTCGGGCTAACATATTCTGGTATCCGGCTTCGCTACCGCTTTGATAGTCCACATTGCGTCGTTTTATCTAACAGCCAACAATCCCCGAAAGTCGCCATGATGTGACCCCCAAACATAAGGTCAAGCTTCGCAGCCCGCCACCTCACATTTACCTCACCGCCATAGGCTGTTTGATGCCAGTTATCGAGAACTTTTTTTGAATTGAATTGAAACAACTACTCAGCATGAACCGCACCCCCCAGAATCCTTCATCCAGGGTGCAGCTAAGACTTCCTGCACCACTCATGCATCCTGCGACATGTTTTCCAGCTCAACCCCCTGTTCTTCATCCTGATGACTGTCACCTCCAGGCCCTTCAGGTCGCCGAAGCCTCCTTGCGACACTCGTATTCAGGAATGTCTCCATGTTTGGCAAAAACATCGCGTTGAGCCACATTGAGCCTGTCAAAATAGTTGAGAGAAGAAAGACCATCTTGAATGAGTAGGCATATGCTCTCGGCGCCGCTTTGTCGACCGCATCAACGATCGTCAAGTTGACACTTGGGACATCCGATATATTGTTGCCCTTCTTGATGGCGGCGTAGAGTAATTTCATGAACGAAGAAGGAAGGCCAGCCTGCTGGGCCACTGGACCGACGATCTTGGGCAGTTTCTCGTTGAGCTGCTAGTCCAAGATCGAAGCGAAGCCAACTTGTGCGAATGCACAGCCCAGGCTACAGATGCAACCAAGAACGCCGAAAGCCAAGCCAATGTCCTGTGCTTCCTAGATATACGTTACACCGGTAAAGGCAGCATTCTGGATGAAACCAATGGCTAAGATGAATTAGCAGAGGAAATGCGGACCCAGGATCAGATGATGCGCGACTCACCAAAGGATAGCAAGCCTGCTGATGCTGTAATTTGGGCATATCGGTCAGTCTTCATGGTACTCAGGCAGCCTACGAACACCACAGCGACAGACGCTGCCATGAGACAATGTGACTTGGTTCGGGTACCGTTCGCAATGGATATGCCCGCGATGGCCATACCAATCAAAAACAAGATGCCCAGCATGCCAATTTGCCAAGAGATGTAGTACGAGTTGCCGCCAAAGACTTTGGCCACGACGATTGGCCAAGAGACATACAGAATGAAGTAGGTCATTGAAGCGAAGAGAGCATTGGTGGCGAGTGCAAAATAATATCGGTTTTTGAACAACTTTGGAGGCATCAGGGCTGGAACCTTGCAAAAGAAGGCTTCTGTGAGATGTCAGTCGGGCCTCAAGCCTTCAAATCGAGACAACCATACCGTAGATAAAGAACAAAAAGTAAGACGCAAATCCGCCGATTATTGTACCACGCACCTCCTTGCTTCTCCACTGGTACTCGGCTCCCACCCACGAGAAGCCGAGCATCGTCAAAACACAGCCGGAAACGAAGAGAAGGATGCCAACGATATCCACGGTTTTGGCCATTTGGAGCTTGGTCCCTCCACCGACGTTGAGCTGCTTGCACGATGGTGGGAAGTAACACAGGAAGTATACCCACGTAGAGACAAAGGCACAGCCAAACCCCACGCCGCAGTTCCATCGCCGTCGAGAGGTACCATCAAGCAAAACGTACGACGGGACGGCAGCGCTGATAGGAGCGGTGACAAAGGGCCCCAAAAGTGTAGCGACGAACCATGGCGCTCTCAATCTGGTTGGGACGAGCTCTCCGATCACGAAGCCGAACGACAGTTGAGCGGCGGCAGCAACACTATTGCAAATACTGGCTGCTACCAGAACGGTGGTATTGCTGCCAAAACAGCCAATGATGCTGCCAACAGCTCCAAGGAAAGAGGAGCCGACAATGAACCATCTGCGTCCGAAAAGATCTGAGAGTCGGCCGACAAGGAGGAAGCCGATGGAACTGCCCATCAACCACATGGTGGACAGGCGATGGTCGTTTTCGGGTAGACCCAGTTCCGTATCAACTCGATTACTGCCACCAAGTCAATGTGATGGGACGAGTACAATGTAAGGCATAGCACTCACCGGCTGCTCGTAAAAGCCACCTATCCCAAGCAAGCAGCGGTACTTCCCAGATTTTGAGCCTGTACCAGTCAGCCATGGCGCGAGGAATCGCAGGGCCTCAACGGTATTTTTGCTCCTTACCACCATGATGCAACCGAAAGTCTTGTTGAACCAATGCAACGGATGGCCAAGGATTTTGGTCTGGATCTGACGAGTTGACCCATCCATGTGTACCAATGAGATCACATTGCTGGGAAGGTTATCGTAGCCAGATGTTCCTCTCTGGGGGTTGGTCTCGATGGTGTTGGGCTCACTCAGGCTTCTTGCCTCGCCGATGGGGCCCGCAGAGGAAGAAGCGGCTGTCATCTTCGGCAAAAGTTTCTGGTGTCTGGAGGCAAGTTGGCTTGCCCGATGTTGATGAGGTTGAAAATCGAAAGAGGAGACAGAGATGTTCTAGTTGTGCATGCCTGCCTTCTGAGGCAGGGGCGTGATGAATGTCAGATGCTCTCAAGGGGTGAAGTGATTTGGTTAGAATGGATGTTTCCAAAGAAGCAATGATATAATGACTTGTGCGGTGTGGTTGTAGTTGGACGAGAATAAACGAGCAGAGAAGTTGGGGGACGTTATATCGTCGCCCACCATGTGTCGGTGCCTCCTTCTTGGCGCACGAGAGCCCCCCTTCCCGGACGTTTTCTTCAAAAACTTCCCAATGAGAGGCGAATATCAACTCAGGGTATGTGCGGAGGCATGCGCTCTTGCCTTACATAGTCCAGATTTGCGACATGGGGATTGGCGCTCCGGCCAAGACAGCAACCCAGCAACCATTAGAGGGAGGGACAATCTTGGCTTTTTGCTTCTCCGTTCTAAAAAGGGGAGTGACTGTGCTCGATATTTGGTTTTTGACACCTAAACCACCAAATTGACTGGCTCATCACGCGACCATCACCAGGACCATCCTCCGACGTGTGATCATGGATGACAGACCTGGAGGGACAGGCACGTAGCACATTCGCCCCTCGCAGATCAACCCCATGTCTCCGCCCTCCTACTAATCCATAAGTTTACTTCCAACCTCTAATTCACTTTCCCCATCTTACAACATACTCAGAATCCTTCATGTCTTGGAGTCACCAAATCTTGAACTCCCTACTTCGAACGAAACCTGGCCTTTGTCCCGTCTTGCTTCTATCTGCGCACAAAACATTCTCCGACCATATTGTCGCTCTTCCAACGTCTTGTTTTCGTGAAAGAAGTCTTTCCTACCTGATGGATTGTGAACATGGTAACTTGCCAGTTTATCCAACAATGTCCATATAGTCATTTAATGAGGGTTTCAGAACTGGTAATATTCAAGTGAACTATGCCAGTGTCATGCCTAATCCTCAACTCTACTTGGCGGCGTTCCTCAGCATTTCCCAGAAGTCACTTGTTGCAACACACAGGCTTTCTCTCTGGAATTTTATCTTTCGAACTGTGTCATTCGTTTCAGCGGGTTCCATTCTGCCTCGTCGATCGTCTGGGCTCAACGAAGACAGTCGTGTCCAGCCCGATCTCCTTCCTTCCCTCCATTGGCTCTTGATGCCAAGAGGCGCTTTCTAACTCTATACGTGCTAAGTTTATTTGAGTCTATGTTGATGTGACACAGGTCTATCGACAATCAGCAGTCTAGCAGAAATAAAGACTGTCTCTTTTCATCAATGATTCAGTTACAACATTCTCTTCATTATCCCATTCGCTAACAAGATTTTGGTTCCCATGTTCACTAGCTATATGATTGTCTACCAGGATCATACGCATGTCGTTCATCTGTTTAAATACCCTTTATCAACCAGGTTTTCTGAAGATTTGGTTGTCACTCCGTTTGCCCCTTTTTTTCTTCCGACAAGTGTCGTCTGAACTACAGCAGTCAAAATTCCAATATGAACTGATATCCCGGATGAGACGGAGGATAGGAACATCCAATGCGACCAACAAGAAAAGTCCCTTTCATGGTATGCCAACGAACTATCAAATGAGCTTATCTTAAGTGACCAAAGAGACCACAAAGATACGTGTGACATTTGTACTCTTTCTCGCTTTCTTTAGCAGAAGTCAAACAAGGGCGATGGAAGTGCAACCATCACTATCATTCAGTCAGCCAGCTAGATACGATTCATACTAACTTAGCTCAGTAACATCAAAAGATGATACCATTCACTCCTCAGTCACTCAACACAATCACTACAAACATGAAGGCCAACTATATGTTTCACGAAGAGTGACATTGCCTGGCTTTGAGTTGAGGAGATCATCTCACCTGTCAACTTGCACCCACATTGGATGATACTGTCTAAAATGTCCAGTATCAAAGAGCAAGAACACTTATATTTGAGATCAGAGTTAGAATATGCTCAGGCCTGGGCTCACAACTGACGATTGCAGTCAGTCTAAGTTCACAAGGGAAGCATACTACAACGTGATTCTAACCAATGAAAGTCTCATTCCGGTGAGAACTGAATACTGCTCTTATGTTTGGCTGTACTCACAATTCTTATAGTGATTCTCAATGCGTGTCCTGTATGCTACGTCCTAGAGGATATGGCACAATAGCCTTGGATTATGCTGGCAAATGCCATCAATCTGAGCCTCACAACGGACGAAATCTGGTGACTGTTTTCCGCAACAAAGCTGACTTCGTCGTTATTCAAACTACTTTGCTGAACTAGCTCAACACGGGTTCCATCTGCCGCACCCTCGGGGATGAGCACATTAGCCTAGCCTTCAAATGGCGAGAGCCGCCTGGTTGAAGCTCACGACGGGAGAGAGCATGTGAGTACCTTCCACGGGAAGACTGCTCTCGCCATTCTTGTAACTATCGTGAAGAGCGAGAACAACCTACTTGCTCTCAGGCCAATAGATGCTAGCCCTAGGATAGCCCTGAGGTTAGAGTATTCTTCCCACGATCCTTTCACTCTCGAATTTCCTTCTACCTCTCTCGACAACACTCCATTTCCGTTGGTTGCTTTTCCCCTCCACATCAGTCAACTCAACCCATCTACACTTCTCTTCTCATCCCAACCCCTTTTCAGCCCTATCCCTCCTCAATACAGAGTTGAAATACCTTGATTTCCAATAACCCCTGTTTCACGAAAACATCTCGAATCCTGTCGCTTTCAAACTTAGCGATTGCAGAGATACCAAATCGCCGTCATGTCGTCTTCTACTGGCAACAAGATGCTTTTGGAGCACCTCCAAAAGCTCACCGTCCAGCATGATCACGAGCAGGCCTTAAAGGCCGCGTCGGCTCCCCCCAAGGCTTCCGATTCAGTCCTTGGCCGCCAGACTACAGTCTTCGAGACTCACAAGCCTCTCGGCATGTCTTCATACTCTTCGGAGGACGATGAGCGTGGTGGCGGAGCCAAGCTCACGGGTCTCGACACACTCGCTGCTGTCAACAACCCGTACGCTCTGCTCGGCAAGGATACGATGTCTGACGTTCATCTTCCGCCTCATAAGGATGTCTCTTCCCTTCGAGGAAGCCCTACGTAAGTTTCTTCGTACTCATATTTACTTTTTGCATCGCGGCTAATTATTTTTTCAGCAGCTTCGGCCGTCATTCGCAGGCCGCTGCCCAGGCCTTGCGCCCTACTTCGTCTGCCACAGCCGCCGTGTGAGTGATTCATTTGGTTCATGCCTAGCCGATTCTAACCTCACTTCATAGCCGGACCTACAAGTATCCTCCCCAGGATACCGATGAGGAAGATGACGTCTTCCAGGACACCTCGATTAGCTCAAAGAAGCACCCCGCAGTTGTGTCTTCTGGCTCGTACAGCCTTGGTCAGGGTCATCTTCAGCAGCCTAGCTTGAAGGGCAAGGGCCTCGCACACCGCGACGAGTACGTCGGCGGATCTCCCATCAAGGGCGGCTCTTCCTACATGCGCAACCCTGTCGACCCTCAGGCGACCTATCCCACTGGCGCTTGCATCTTCGTGGCCAAGTAAGTCTCAACCTCCAAGATGCTTCGTGAGTTACACTAAATTTTGTCTTAGTCTGCCCGAGTACAAAGATGACATCACTCTCGAGGCGGCTGTCATCAAGGAGTTTAAGCGATTCGGTGTCGTCTTCGTCAAGATCCGTCGCGATCCTCAGGGTATGCCCTTCGGCTTTTGCCAGTTCACTGTAAGTTTTCCATGAGACGTCTGAGGTCACCATACTCATACTAACCCATTTGTAGACCAAGGAGAATGCTGAAGATGCTCGCGTCAACGGCAAGGGCTCCTTGATTCTCGGCCGTCCTTGTCGCACTGAGACGGTTCGCGCCAATCGTGAGCATACTCCTATACCTCCTCCACTGTTGTCACTAACACCCATTGATGCAGGTACCTACATCATCTACCGTCGTGATGGAACGGACATCACTATGGAAGAGGCAAACGAGCTCATGCGTCCCTTTGGCCCAATCGAGACCTTCCGCGTCCTTGATCCTCAGATCCGGGATCAGCTTGAGCTTCCCGTCACGATCAGAGTCCAGTTCGAGGTGTTTGACCCGTCTCAGCAGGTTCTTCGCGCGTTCCGTCTGAACAAGACGTACAAGGTTGAACCTTTCGACTTCAAGAAGGCCATGCAGGCCAGAGCTCGCAACGCCGACCGCGCTTTCCTTGACTACTATGATCGCGATCGTCGTTCCATCTTCATTGGAGACCTTCCTCTGAACTTCACTGAGAACGATATCCGCATCCTAATGGAGGATATCGGCGGTGTAGTCTCGGTTCAAACCAAGCGTCTCGACTACGTTCGTGGTGAGTTTCCATCATCTACTCACACCCATGTGGCCAAACACTGACATTTACAATAGAGGGTCCCAAGCTCATCGCTTTCGTTGAGTTCACCAATGTCTCCTACCCCGACATAGCCATTGAGCGCTACGTAAGTTTGCTTCCTGGTTTTCAATGCTTGACTGAAAGCACATATGACTGACAGATCCATCAGAACTTGAACCGCATCGAGGGTTATACTATCCGCGTCGAGCGTCGCACTGATAGACGTCGCCGCGACGGTGGCATGCATGCTCGCAACCAGGGCAATGGTCACAACTCCGGCTACGGCTCCGGCTACAACGCCTTCGACGCTGACTCCAATGGCAACAAGCCTCCTTCTACTCCTGCTCGCGATCAAAGAGACACCATGGCCATCGAGGCTGGTCCCTTTATGTCCAGTGGCCAAGTCACCCAAGGCACTCCTTCCATGATGCCCACTACTTCGCACCCTGCCAACCAGGCTGTCGTGATGGCCCCTACTGCCTTCACTCATCAAACCGCTCAGTCTATGCAACAACATATGCAGCAACCTGTTCAGTCTGTCCAGCAGCAGGTGCAGGCTAAGATGCCTCACCCCGGTCAACATCAGATGCCCCAGATGCAGATGCAGCACCATGGTCAGCAGTATCCTGCTCAGCAGCTGATGCAGAACCAGCAGATGGCTACCCAAATGGCTCAGCAGCAAATGACTCATGGTGTGCAGATGCAGCAGGCGACCGGTCAGTCCATGGGCCAGGCTCCTCTGCAATACCCCATGGCCCCTCCTCCCGTCCCTGCTCAGGTTGGCACCCCCATGCACAACATGGCCTACAACCCCAACCCTTTTTCTGGCAGCCCCTACTCGCAGGGTCCCGGCTCGTCCTTCGGCTTCGTCACTCCTCAGCAGACCCCCATGCCCTTCTGGGGTTACGGCCACGGCACTCCTCTCTGGACCCCGTTCCCTGTTGACCCGGCTGCTTTCGCGGCTGCGGCTTTCTCGTCGCCCATCCGCCCGGCTTGCCACAACATCGGTGTCGCTTCGCAGTCTGTTCCCGTCCAGAACGATGGCAGCCAGGTCAACGTCACTCAGTCTGAGCCTGTTATGACTGACAACAGCCAGGCTTAGGCCACCGAAGGCCCGGTTGGCAACAACTGACCATCCTTCTTGCGTGGTCTTCTTCACACTTTCTCTTCTTTGAAACCGTCGTGTTTCCCACATTCTTCTCTTCTCAGCTGTTCCTTCATACGATTATTTTCTCATTTTGTTGCGTCGGCTACCAAGATTTGGTATGGATTCTCAAGTACGGTGGGCTACTCGGATAGTGACAAATCTCTTTTTGTTCTCGGATAATCGTCACGGGTGGTGGGCGATGGATCGGTTATAGAGAACAGACAGGGACAGGGTCATAGATGTAGATACTTGGCTTGTGCAAAAGGCACATTCGTTCCTCGTCTACTCAGGATGTAGCGGACACTACCTTTACTGATAAATGGTGGAAAATACACGCTTGAGTAGATCGATATGCACATCCCACTTCGCGTACTTACGTGATATTGCTGGCTTGCTGGTATGCTGCGCCAATTGCGAGCCCGCTTGTCTCCCATATCTCTGCTCCCCTGGGAACGAAAGCAAAAAGCTCGGTTTCGGTTTCCGTTCGCAGTGGGTTTCAAATGACAGATGGCTCAGGGTTCAATCGAATCCCGAGAAATTCAGATTGTTCTTTGATTTGGGAGAACAACATACTGTGAACCTCGCTCGAATTTACAATTTAGACAAATCCACTTTAGAAGTAAGTACCATGGAAGAGCATTTGGGTTGCCAGGTTGGGAGCGGAGCACGGGGCATCTTTGTCCCGCTTCGAAGCTCAAGCTCGATGTACCCATGTACATGCCGAAAGCTCGATAGCACTTATTCGAGATATTCCCACACGAGCCGAAGATCACATTCGCAGAGTCAATTCATACGACCTTTTGTACCAACCTGGAAAGTTGTGGGAAATTGCCAATTTGATACACCAAGGCTGCCTCAATTGCGCGAAAATAAAGGCTCATCGCGCGCGCGGGAGCTCACTCGACTCCTAAACCTCTCTACCAGAAAATCGAAGCTGTCGGCGCAGTCGGCAAGGCGTTGGCAAGATGCGGGCGACACCGTCGCTGATGAGCAAAGGCATCTTTGCCCGGACTTTGGATGAACTAAAGCGACGCGCAAGCATTGGTTAGCACACTTGAGCCTACTACCTGACCCTACAGAGAGCTAACCTGTCACGCCCATCACAGTCGCAAAAGCCGAAGGCATCAAGGGCCCCTCGGGTCCATACCTACTCCAAGACTTCCGCGAGCCCGGTTCGACCGACGACTGCAAACTCATGTCCGACCAAGAGATTGGCGGCTTCTCCCACAGCGCCCTTGAATGGGTCCCCTCTTCATCCTCCACAAGAACGGCCCGCTCGTCGCAAAGCAGCCCAACAAGTAGCACGAGGGGTTACGCCCGCTTTCACGGCACGATATCCACCGAACTCCCCAAAAACGACCCCAAGATTCAACGTACAGGATTCGCAGCATGGCGGACGCCGGACCAGCGGGGGACACTTTTGGGCAAGTCGGTCTGGGACATCGACCCATACTCGTATCTCGCGTTGCGCGTCAAATCGGACGGGCGGAGTTACTTCATCAATCTGCAAACGGACTCGGTGGTGCCAACGGACTTGCACCAACACCGACTGTTCGCGAAGAGGCCGGGCGAATGGGAAACAGTGTTTGTCAAGTGGAACGACTTCGTGCGGACGAACCACGGCTTCGTGGTCGAGCCGCAGACGGAGATGCTGCGTTCCAAAGTTAGAAGCGTCGGTTTGGGATTGACGGATCGTGTGCCCGGTCCGTTTGAGCTGTGCATTGAGAGGATATGGGCAACAAATGATGTCGAGGAAGCAGTGGAGGAGAGTGACGGGGATATGTTTGCTGCGCAGGAGGCAAGGGAGACAAGAGAGAGCGAATTGAGGAATCGGGAGGGAAAGAGTATTCGGTGGAAGGAGAGGTAAAGTTCGAAACTCGAGATCAGGGGTAGCGGCTTCGACCATGGTGCGAGGACTACTGGATCGGGCCAGGAGGGGGATGCCAGTTGAGCAGACTCTCAAGATGTTTCTCATTCGGCGAGGAAAGCCGATTTTGCTCGACAAAGCAGATCGGGGGAAGCAGACAGCTTGGCAGAGTAGATTCTCAGCCAGGGTACTGTAGAACACTCTGTAAGATATCACAACACATAATGCATCGTAATGTAAACATTAGGATGGTATTTGGAACAAGTGGCGAGGCAACGGAAAGTATTCCTGTCAAGGAAACGTGCGAACACAACAGGTTCATGACTACCAATGTTCTATTCAAAAGAGAATGCAAAATGATGTCTACTTCCGTCAACTACTTCCGACAAGTCCTGAGGGACAGCTCGGGGTGTGGCTCGAGTGAGAGAACTTTCTGTGTCGGGACATCTGTGGCCAATCACATTTCTCAAAGGGTTCGGTGGGACCCCCAACATCACTCAGAAACCTCACTGACAGCATCGCGACTACCGGACCAAAGGTCGTGAGCTGTGTGTCCTGCAAGTTTGTTTACTTCATTTGAGAAGACTTCCTGACTTTAAGTACTTTACCACCCACTCACTCGACTCTGTTGCCTGCACAGCGAGGACTCTTTGGCGCAGGCCGACGCGACCATCTGCTTCACCTGCCAGTGTTCTGGAAATATGGTGATCAGCGTTTCTCAAGGCTCACCACACGCCATCAGATGAGCCGTTCGGCAAAAGGGTTTCAAAAAGATTCTCTTGAATTGGGGCAGCGCGTCAATCCAGACGCACAGGTATAATGGCCCGATACCTAACGCCCGCCAAAATCGGCCTGCTCGCCCTCATTGAGCTCTACACAGATGAACACGTCCCCACCACAGCAATCATCCCCGTGCTCTCCTTCGTTACATCCCACCTCCTGGACCCGGATCCGCAGAGCTTCACCACCGCCGCCAGCAAGGACACGCGCTGGCGCAAGGCCGAGAGCACCGTCAGCCTTGTCATAGGCATCAAAGATTTCGAGAAACTGCTGAGCGCCCACTCCGTCGTCGTCGGCTTGCCAGGCCGCAAGCTGTGGGACACATTCCTCGCGAAGCTATGGGGCATCAACTCGCTCGACCAGCTGCACGACTTCTTCGGCCGCCAGGCACAGTGTCTGGCCAAGACGAGGGAGGAACTGCGGCGCGCAGCCGGGGGCGACGAGGCGGTCGCGGCACGGCTGTGGCAGGAGCAGCAGCAGAAGTCGGGCATCACGCTTTCACGGAACTCGCCGCTGGGGCAATTTGTGAGGCGATGTCAGCTCGAGTTCTCGAGGCTGCAGTTCCACGACGCGACGCAGCTATGGACGGATTTCGTGCAGTATCGGCAGCCCACGGCCGGTTATCTGCGGAAGAGGAACCCTTCGTTTGGTCGGTTGAGCTTCGACCATGTGCTCATGACGGGTGAGCAGGCGGATTGGGACTTGGAGGGCGTGGCTGCGCTCACATCTGTTGTTTACGGCGACATGGTGAAGAGTGGCACTCCCTCCGCCGTGCCAGTGAGCACGGATGATATTGAGCTCTTGCTTGAGTTCCAGATCGAGCAGATGCAAAGTGAGTACTCCCATCAACGATGCTGGGCGCAGTACTGACAGGTGCAGAATTTGGCAACAGGATACCCTTGGAGCTTCGGAATCAGTTCCAAGATCTTCTCGGCGACAGCTTTCTGGTGCCCAGCTTGAGACACTATCTCAGGTTTGTTCCTGAATCCACTATTGACCGTCCTCAAGCTGACCTTCTCCAGCTTCCTTGATGCCTGGAGATCCGGTGACTACCCCACCGCGTTCGATTTCCTCCACCAATATTTCGACTACACCATGCAGAACCGAGACAGGCTATTCTACCAGTATGCGTTAATGAACTTGGCGGTCCTGCAAGCAGACTTTGGTTGCTACAGAGAGGCTGTCGCAGCCATGCTTGAAACCGTCTCCACGGCTCGCGAGAACCGCGACATGACCTGTTTAAACTTCGCCCTCAGTTGGCTGTTCCACTTCGGCAGAGCACACCCTGACCTGGTCAGAGACTTAGAGGCCGACAGTCTACTTGGTACAGCCAAGGAGAGTCTATCATATCTCCGTGTCAAGGCGAAGGAGACAGGAATGTGGACGCTGTGGGCATCAGTGCTGCTCAGCGAGGCGAAGCTTGGTTTAGCAAACGGCGAGAGCGTGGCCACGTCGATCGAGCTCATGGTCCGCAGTTCACATCTCATTGTCGAACGGAACATGAAGAACATGTTCGGTGCCCAGCTCTCAATCCTCGTTGCCCTGTGGGACAGGCTAGGGCTTGCACAGCTCTCGGCCATGGACTGCGAGATATTCCTTCGATGTCATGCCAGACACTCCATCTTCGACGACGAGCTAAAAGTAACATCACGTCTGGCGTCACAGCTAGTCGCAAAGGGCAAGTTCGACGAAGCACTGCAGAAAATGGAGGCGCTAGACGACAACTCCCTACGCTCATGGAAGCCCAGCCAGTACTGGTTCAAGTACCGCGGAATCATCAAGCTGAAGCGTGACCTGCACCATAACAACCTCGACGGCGCAGAGCAGCTGCTCTCGCAACTACTACAATCCAAAAAGGACGACCTAGAGCCGGATATGGCCTTCGTCGTCGACTTCCTCCACATAGACTGCCTTACCCGCCGAGGTGATCTGCAAGCGGCATTCAACAAGGTCGAAGACATGCTCGCGGCGACACGCGACGATAAGAGAGACATCGCGCTCCGCGTGAGGCTCATGTTGATCAAGGTTCACCTGTACGATAAATGCGGACGGCCGCAGCGGGGTTTCACAATCGCTATGCGCGCGGCCAGCATGGCCTGGCGGGCGAGGCTGGTCTCGTGTCTGTGGCAGGCCGTCGGCGCCATCGCCAACATCCTGACGTCGCTGGGAGAGTTTGAGGCCTCTTCACAGCTTCTTACAGCCATCCTCCCGCGAAGCCTCGAATGCGACTCCGCGGCGCTGAGCGGGCAGCTGTATTCGTACCTCGCAGACGCCAACATGGGCATGGCGGGTAAGATGGCGCCGCAGTCGGCCAAGAGGAGGGAGTATTTGACCCGGGCTACGGGGGCGATTCAGAAGGCGTTTGATCACTTCTCGAGCATCGAGGACATCACGCGGCAGTGCGAGATGATGGCCAAGAAGGCCACCATCATGAAGGTCGCCGGGGACAAGGTCCTGGCAGCGGATTATGCGGCGGCTTATGTGGCTTTGCGGAAGGAAGCGGCCGCCCTTTCGATATGAGCATGTTTAATACCACACATAGACGGGAGGGAGGAAAGAGGCAAGAGAAGGCGTTTCACGTAGGGCAGAGCAGGAGTACCACGATGAGATTTTCTTTAAAAAGGCCGCATTCTCTCGATTGCTGTGACATAGGGAAAATGTACAGAATAGTCTACCCCTCAACAGGCGTGTCTTGCCGAGTCTAATGGATCGCTCCTCTCGTCCCCCTTCATTGGCGATGTCACGTTTCACTCTGGTTGTGGTGGGTGCTTGCAAGGCACATTTAAGCCTTGTCCTGGTTGTGGTAGTTGACGTTGTCGTTCCAGCTGTTTGGAATGTTAGTGACGTCTCGCCGGGGAGGCCTTTTCATTCCGCCGAAGTTCGACTTCAAAGAAGAATCACAAGGAGGAGGAGAATACGCACAAGATGGTCTTGTCACCGTTGCCCCATGGGTAGTTCTTGGTGCGGATGTTCTGGTAGGGGTACTCGACGCGCTCCTCCAGAGGGGGAAGGTGGCTCCAGTGCTCCCAGTGCTCGTTCCAGAGGACCCAGGCGTTGGCGGCAGCGAGGCCAAGGGCGGGGATGCAGCCGCTGTGGAGGAGCATTTCGTCAGCATTTCTGTCAGGATACAAGTCTCTCGCCATTCCCCGAATCAAATCCCGCGTTCGTTCAGAGCTCAATTGTCTCGTCTGTTTCGATACGCTGGTCGTCGTTGGCGGACACAGATCACTGAGCGGACGTCTTGCAGACGGGGGATTCGGTCTTCGGGTGGAGTTTCACTGGGATTGGGTGAGGGCATACTAGATGGAGATCTTGCGCCAGAGGGCTGGCAGTCAATGGGTTAGCCGTTTGGTTTCCAGAATTTGATGTTCGCTTTCCCCCTCCTCGAGCCGGAGTCAATTGGCTTCAATTGACTTGGCCCAGCACGGAGGGAGAAGTCCCATCAGACCACGGAGACTAGAGAGGACGAACCAGTGGTGCCGGCAGCGTGGTGCTTAGCGGCCTCACGCTCCTTGATGAAAGCGTTGTCGGAGGTGCTGGCGAAGCGGCGCTGGACGGTGGAGCGGGTGGCCGGGGCGCGGGCGGCGCGCGCGGCGGCGGCGAGGAGCTGACGCTGCATTTTGTGTCTCGTTGTCGGTGGAGGGGAGAGGGTTCTCGTTTGTTTCGGTCGGCCGGCGGCTCGGTGGTGGTGGATTCCAAGAGGGTTTGTGAGGAAGTTCGGTGATCAGGTCATTTTCGAACTTCCGGTATGGAGCCGCCAGGCGCAGAGCTCGGTTAGCGGGAACGTCACGGCCTTGTTTGCGGCCTGGATTGTTAGGCTCTTAGGTTGGCAGGGTTGGGATGACTAAATGATGTCAGGTCATTTGCGGAGGAAATAGGAAGGGAGGGCCCGGCCGGACGCCTTTGTCAGAGAAGTACCCTGGAAAGCAGGTGCAATGTAAGCCAGCGAATCTCCATTACTTGCTGGAGGTCTAGCGCACCTCAAGAAATAAGAATTGCAAGCTTGCATGACACTGATATCATGTTCCTCATTTCACGAATCAATCGACAGTTCATCTAAAAGTGCATTGGCTTTGGGAAATTAGGACGGACATGCATCGATCACGTGCACTATCACGGGATACCGCGCTGAAGCTCGCGTTCGCCCCCCTCCATGACGGCAACTATGTCGCGTTGACCAGGGCGTCTGAGTACCATTGTATGTTCATCCGCAACGTTTTCCATGTCTTTTGATCTCATGAGCCAGTTCGATCAGTAGTTGGAGGATTCCGGGAATGCAGTGTGGGATTTCAAGACTGTTTTTGCCTCACTTATCTCTCGCTCCCTGATGCATTTTCATTGCCACCGCCGACTTCGCTCTGATACCTTGGGCATGGGACTGGAAGCAACTTGAATTTGGCGTTTATTGAATTCGATCTTTTGACTCGCGACTTCGGACACCGGCAAGATTTCGAACAGGATGGGGCTGCGTATTACAACGTGGAATGGTGAGTGACTTTGATATACTTATGAGGTAAATGTTGACTGACATTGCCAACTACAGTCAACGGCATCAGGTACTGTCGCTTCTCATAAGCGCTACTATATGCTCGGTCTAATATGTCCCAGAAACCCGTTCGGCTACCAACCATGGAGCACAAACCGAACTTTTCAGGTTTGTCTATCGCCCAGTCGTGGAGTTGCTCAGCTCGTTGCTCGTGTCTGATCAGCTCACCAGTCAATGTTCGAAATTCTGGAGGCGGACATTGTGATCATACAAGAGACCAAGATACAGCGCAAAGACCTTCGCGATGACATGGTCCTCGTCCCCGGCTGGGACGTCTTTTTCAGCCTCCCAAAACACAAGAAAGGTGAGCCTAGACACCTTGAGATGGGTGGACGTGACCTAACCCATCGGACAGGATACTCGGGTGTCGCAATCTACACCCGCAACGCAACATGCTGCCCGATCCGCGCCGAGGAGGGCATCACAGGCATCCTCACTGGCCCCAACTCCACCACCAGCTTCCGCGACTTGCCCGAGGCTCAGCAAATCGGCGGCTACCCGCGACCGGACCAGCTGTTAGGCGAGGTGGACGAGGCGACGCTCGACTCCGAGGGCCGTTGCGTTGTGCTCGAGTTCCCGGCCTTTGTCCTGATTGGCACCTACAGTCCGGCGACGCGCGACTCGTCCCGCAACGATTTCCGGCTGGGGTACCTCAACGCTCTCGACGCGCGGGTGCGGAACCTCGTGGCGGCGGGGAAGCAGGTCATCCTGACCGGGGATTTGAATGTGATTCGCGACGAGATGGATACCTGTAACGTCAGGGAGGCACTCCGCAAGGAGGGCATGTCAGTGGAGGAGTGGATGGGAATGCCGAGTCGGCGGCTGTTCAACCATCTCGTCTTTGACGGGCAAGTCACCGGTGAAAGGGATGAAGGACGAGAAACGCCGGTGCTTTACGATCTGACACGGATCTTCCATCCCACACGGCTGGGCATGTTTACATGCTGGGACACAAAGAGGAACACGCGACCAGCCAACAACGGTAGCCGGATCGACTACATCCTCTGCTCCGCCGGCATCAAGGACTGGTTCACGGACTCCAACATCCAGGAGGGCCTGATGGGATCAGATCACTGCCCCGTGTACGCAAACATGGCCGACACCGTCAAGGCCAACGGCAAAGATACGTCTGTGCTGGACCTCATGAACCCCGACGGCATGTTTCGGGACGGCAAACGGCTTAGGGAATGGTCGGCCAAAGACCTGCTCCCTCTATCTGCCAAACTCATCCCTGAGTTCGACCGGAGACGGAATATCCGCGACATGTTCATGAAAAAACCCGCCGCAAAACCTTCGCCAAACCCAGCTTTGAGTGCCGTCGAGTTGCAAAGTCTCGTTTCCGAGGAGCCGCCCACGCCCCAAGAGAAAGAAAATCCGGAACCCTCGCAACAAGAAGCATCGGAGCCACCAGCGTCGCAAGCATCCGTCCAGTCGAACCCTGTCAAGCCGTCACTTGCCCCTTCAACCACAAGACCCCCAGCCTCACAAACAAAATCCCCCGTAAAGCGAGTATCAGAGACGACAATGTCAACGAAACGTCCCGCAAAGAAGACGAAAACCACCGATACCGATTCCTCCTCTAAGCAAAGCACCCTCACAGGCTTCTTCAAACCCAAGCAACCGCCCCCAAAGCCGATACCCACCGAGGCCGACCCGACGAGGCCAAACCAGCTATCGCCCACAAACAACAGAGGTGCAGCAGGCTCAGGCGGTGGCCTGAGCCGCCCATCCCTATCAGGGATATCAAAGACTCCCCCTCCTCCCTCCGTAGGCGCAGTAGCCGCAGACGCCCCGCCGCCACCGGCCCCTTCCCCGTCACTCTCCGCAACCAATTCCGTCGCTGCGTTTGCGGTTGCATCTGCGCTCGACACCTCGGAAAAGGTCTTTGACCCTATCGAGGTCAAGGAGTCTTGGTCCAGGTTTAACCTGGGGAAGAGGGTCGTGCCAAAGTGCGAGCATGGAGAGCCCTGCATCATCCTCCAGACTAAGAAGCCGGGCGTCAACTGTGGTAAGCTGCTTCTTCTTGTTCCCATTCGTCTTGTGGCCTTTGTTTCTTTGTGGCCTTTATGAGGCCCAATGCCTCCATTCAGGCCCCTTGAGCTGCGGCTGACCCTTCATGCAGGCAGGTCGTTCTACATTTGCCCCAGGCCGCTCGGAAAGTCGGGGGAAAAGGAGAAGGGAACGGAGTGGAGATGCGGGACCTTCATCTGGAGCAGCGACTGGAAGAAGGATCAGTCCTAGATTCGCTATCGTGCTATCCTTTCTTCGTGATCATGATGGGTTGCGTGTGGCATTGAAGTGATTAGACGGCTTCCATGTTATTCAAGATGGTTGCTTTTGTGCCCTACAATGCCTCAGAGAAATGAGATATGACCATTATGGATCCGCCGCCGCCGCTGCCGCCACCGACGACCTCCGCTGCTTGTTTTCAGCAACTTATCTCGACATATCGTGTTACCGTGCCCTTTTCCAAGTGTTTAAAAGCAAGGCTGGTTTCTAACAAAGCAGGATTCTCGCCCTGGCCGCAGCCTTCTTCACCCGACGCTGGACGCATACCCATGAGATCCGGAGAATCCTCGAGGGTATTTATTGTGAGGCTTCCTGCCTCGCAGAAGGCGTCTGTCTAGCCCTAGCATGAGATGTCACTGATTCCTGAAACAGGGCGGCATGATTTCCATGCTCCAGCCGATGGCTGGATATCGCTGTGGCCTCATCTCGATGGCGAGGCAGCTGGCTTTGTGGACTGGGCAGATGTGCTTCTACGGCTACGACGACGCTTCTCTGAAGGCTTGCGTGGAGTATATCGATAGTCTGGGTGCAGTTTGTTATGGCGTTCCTTGTACGCTTTGGCGAGCGCCCTATATCTCTCCTGAACCTCGTGTGATTCGGCATTCCAGGCCCTGCCCAGAATTCCCGCTATGCAGAGGTCAGTAGCAGCACTCGATGCAAATCATGCCTGGGAACTCACAGATGTCGTTGTTCTGAAGGTGAGGATTCATCTGCTTGATCTGCGCTTGGTAATCTTTGCGGTAGAGAATGAAGGCATTGGGAGGGCGAGGGATCTTAGGCTCCCGCTCGGGAGTGTTGACGTAGTGATCCATTGCACCAAACGCTTCCTCGAGGAGTTGTGGTGGCGGCTTTCGCACAACAACAGCGATGCCATTGACTGACACAATCATGTGTGACCCGGTGATGAATCTACTACAAGGACCAAGGACCCATCTGTCGATGTTCGTGTAGATGCCATCTTTTACCCACATGACCGGCTTGCGGAGAATACGCCTGCAATCATAGATTAGGAACCAGCACCACGAAAGAATAGCAAAGAAAACCATAGTGCGAATGCTTACCCCATCTGCAAGGCCATAAACAGCCGGCCTTCTTCGCCGAAGGCGATGTAATCACCTCCCGAGACAGCGATGGTGGACTCAAAAGTGTTTAGATGGAGGTCCAAGATCTCTGTCACAACGCGAAGGACCTCGGGGTGGACTTGTGTAGGGTCTATGCTTCGAGCCACAGTCTGACCGGGGTTAAACTTCAATGCCATGATGAATGAAAGTGTGAATTGAAATGGCGGTGTAAGGTGGAGTGCGTCGTCAATGTATAACTGTAGACGACTTGTGTTCTTCGAGAGACCTTGAGCAATGGATATGAATCTACTTTGAGAGAGGTAACCTGGCTCTGGGATATTATGGAAGAGCGAAGCTGTGGATGGCTGTGTCGATAGGCCTATATAAGAAACCTTTGATAAGACGTCTGATGGGTGGCCACAGCGGATGGTCCGAAGGACGTTGGGGAGAGATTTGAGGGAGACAACATGGCCCTCGCCATCGTGGATCTGCAATGTGCTATGGGCAGAAGAAGGACCCGAATTTGGGGAATAAAGCGCCACTTTCCCTTCAGGAAGCGAGAGAGCCGTGGCATCACCGCGAGGACGGTTGGTCTCGAGGCGAACGCCCAGCATTTCTTCCAGCGAGACCCATGTCTTGGGAATGTAGGAGGCTGCAGGGGGTGCTTCTTTCTTATTTCAGATTTGGCCAGACTTTATTAGCTAGACCAGGGTAAGGTGTGTATTTGGGTATGCATCTTGCGAAGGAGGAGGCGTGTGGATTGGAAGGTGGTCGCTTTCCAAGTTTGGATACCGTGTTGTCCGTACTGTACATGGTTTCCCACACAACGATACGTAGCCGACAGGCTTCCCAGTAAACAGGGGGGGTGGGGGGTTGCCTGCTTCCTTGGACAACGATTCGAGGACTCAGGTGCCTCGACCTCCAATTAGCTTAGACGACCGGGTCTTGAGCAAGCCCGTCTCTAGCAGCAAGGCACCAGCCATCACGATGGGAAACGGCTACTTACAGCTGCGTGCAGCATCTTTTGGGTTCCCAACAAGTACCGACACTTCTCGCCGCAGCCTGCTCTCGCTATTATTGTCACGGCTGTCTCTAACAGACGTTTTTAGCATCCTTTTCTCCAGCAACTTCCTTCTCCTCAACTACGCTTGAAGCGGTGATTTGGGCCACGGGACGGTATCTGGCGCTACGTGTCAGCAACCGTATATAAGCGTCAACGCGGTAGTCGCCCCAGAGTATGGGGATTACGTCAGCATCTTGCGATACCAGCACGGGGAAGCCGTAGAAGTCGCACTGCCATGATACGTTACTTGGGCACATACGGTTACACAGGTTTTTAAGGTAGGTCGCCGAGTCGGCGATCGAGCCCCGGCAGGATTTACATATCAGCCATTTGCAGGCGACTTCAGCGTTCCCAACTACCTACCTGTCACTTGCGCACTCGGTGGGCTGTGCATCATATATGAAAGCAACCACCGCACGTGTCTTTTGTTCTCGCGTATAATTCCCTTTGGCGGTACGAACACTAGCAGACTAGTATGTTGTCAAGCAGACAAGATGACGCCGTGCTCCGTGCAAGGAACATGCCAGGTTCAGGCACCGATGCCACGCCGTTGCCAGCTAACCTACACATCCAGGATCCTGGATAGAGAGCAGGACCTCTCATGAGCTTTCTCTTGGTATCTTTGTATGTCAATCCTTTCGTAAGTTAACGTATGATGGCTCCAAGCCCTTAGGAGCCGTCCACGTTGCTTTGGCGAAGCTTTGACGACATGCTCGAGTCTCTATTGGTGACTAGTCAGAAACATTCAATTGCATGGTTTTTGTCATTGGGGTTTCTACTTTTCTCTTGGTCATCTTTCCCGACCACGCTTTCCATTCTCGGCTAACCACAGGGAGACTGCAATGAGGGCAGTCTTCCTGGATGGGCGTCCTGCCCTCCAAAACACAGCTGTCTCCAATACATCTACTCCATAATATCTACAGATGTCATCGCAGTGAATGTGTTCAGCAAAAGGACATCTGCTTCTATATTTTCCTCCCACCCCTCTCTTTTCTGGTGTTCCACGCCGCAGCTATTTTAGTCCTTTCTTTTTCTAGAAGACACCTGCATGTCTTTGACTCTTATAAAATTCTTCTCCGTCCCTACAATCAGTACACCACTTCTTCCGCTACCACCTACTAGAGCTGTTCCGCCACCGTTCACTCTCATCTCCCGGTTACAATGTCTCGGAATGACGAATCATCACCGACCGAAGGCCGCGTTGTCTTAAGAACACAGGGCATGAACGAGGTTCTACCTCGACACGACCTCGATTTGTTCACGTCTTCAGCGACGTTCCCACCTGGAGAATGGGTTCTCTCTGAGCTTGGTTATCCTCACCAATTTCAAGCCGCATATTGCGTGCGAAATTCCCAGGGACAAATGATACGAGCGCCAATGCCACTGGTCAATGTCTCTGCAGTCACAAATCAGCAAGAAATATATGATCACTGCACAGTCTATCATTATGACCCGGGTAAGTCCCACGATTATGGAAGAGAAAAAATCTGACACCGATCAGCGTATCAAAGCCAAGGGGACACACAGATTAACCATGCCGTTGCCGCCATTGGTCAGCAGGAGGAGCAAATCGGCAACATGCTGTCGTCACAGGAGCAGGGCGATTACCAACAGGGTTCGACACACTCCCGAGCAACTAATCATCACCACGTCGATCTTGACGTCAAGCATGATTTCTTTTCGCCAAACGAAACGACACTCTTTGCCAGCCCGCCACCGTATTCGTCACTTGTAGCAGCACATGTACAAGCACACGCCACTTCCACAAAAAGCCGGTCAACAACCGCGCAGACATCAATGCATGGTTCGAACATGATCGATTTTCCAGGGAAAAGCGCCACCAGCGGTTATCCACCTTATCAGGAGGAGTTGGTCGTTGACAGCTTGTTCAACGACACCTCGTACCACAATATTTTTCATAACTCTAGGCAAGCAGAAACCCATGGCCTCGAGAGCTTCTCTCCGAAAGATTCATTCAACCCGGATATCCAAGGAGCTTCGTTCCTGAGTGCTGAACCTTTCGAAATGGCACTCCCCCCGACTATGTTGTCTCAATTTGACGAACAAGCATTTGACGAGCTTTTTCGCCAAAGAAGCGATTTAAACTGCAAGGTTGATGAAACACGCGTTGGAGGCAACGTGGATGGACTAGAAGATGACACTGCCCTAACGAGAGCAACGAAATGAACCTTTCGCTTGTGTTCCCCTGTCTGGACGGGATTGGGTATGGGCTTTGAGTCGGCGCACTATGGCGGCTGGGTGTTGATTTTGTCATGTTGGGGTCTGTTTTCCGAGACTAGGACAGGGTGGACAAGTTCAACGAAGATCTTCATGCGTTCAGGTCATTGTGGACTGGGTCAAAGTAGCCTCTGGTCTTTAGCAGTGTTTTGACCGCCTCTCGGGTGCGCAAGGGTTTTGCGATGACGGGGCGGTGGCAGGTAACGGTGGGAGGTATTTAGGATCGCGTTGCATTTCTCGCTTCTGTTGTCAGCTGCTCACGTGGCAGTTGTAATCTAGCCTAGACAATTTTACGAAAATTTAGGGAAAGAGTTTGCTAAAAACACAGGCCCAAATCTCACCAGTGACTGTGCACATTCCCCAGATGCTGGGGCTTTGGCCAATGAAGGAAGGGAAAGCTGAGAAATCGGTGTGTTGGAATCCTTACGAGGAACAAACAACAAGTGATGACAGGATGATGCTCCAACGGGCGCTACGGGGATAGAAAGAATATAATTGGTTACCAAGAGATGCAAGAAGCAGCAAACGATGTCATGTCTCATGCGTGATTGGGAGAGTAGACGAGGGTCGTCAAGATTAGCATATGGGCCAAGCCGAACTAGCTCAGCCACTGCATGGTAGTCCCTGCCCAGGCCCCACAAACCATCCCATCGAGGTGGGAATCTCAGGGTGAACATGGCGGGGGACGTCCCAGGTCCCCCCGTTCTGTTCTCCAATTCTCCCAGTCTCCCGATTTGCCTCGCCTCTTCAAACATGGGGGAATGGCGCAAAGAGACGTTTGCATTACTTCCCTAGAGAGAGCGAAAGGAAAATATATAAAAATTGTGTTGCTCGTGCCGCTCGTCCATGCCCCTCGTATCGGCCCGAAACGAGTCTTCTATGATAGCCACCTTCTCGACCTTTTGTGCAGGACGAGCTGACCGCAACAACAAAGCGACCAATGCCAGAGCCGCGCAAGCAAACCTTCATCCGGATTGGGCGAGATCAACACCTACTATTATATATGACATGTTGAGGGGGAGTGGACTTCGCTGCATGTCCAGGGATGTCGAAGGCAAGGGTGACACTGTACTACACTGGAAATGGCAGAAGGCGTTGGATGGGTTGGGCTACTCGATCAAGCTGCTGAATCTGAACCAACGTAACCAGTCAAATCTGCGTCTATCCGGTAGGGTATGTTCATCCCTGCCCTCACTCCATGCGACTGTTGAAGGTCTGCCACAGACGCGCTTCTGCACGCCGGCTGCTACCTTGCTCTTCTTTGCTGCCCTGTTCTCAAGCCTTTCCCTTCACTGAGCGGAGCAAACGCGGATATACCGTCACTGCGCTTGTCTTCACCCCTTCAACAGAAACAGGCCACCTTGCGGCTTCCGAGGATGTTTATCCCCCACCTTCCCCAATTTGCATCCCGCAGCCTGCAGAAGTAGCCTGGGAGGAGGCAGAAAGGCAGGGCCGACAACGCGTCTGCCATACCTCAAAATGCATTGCGGCAACCGCCAGTTTACTCTGACCCTGACCCGAACAGTACAAGCTCTCCTCTCACCGACTTTGTTTGTCAAGTAGACTGAGGAAAACGTCAACGATAACTTGGCGTCTGACATGCCCCAAGGCCATGCATGCGGCAAATTCCGATTCATTAAACGACTCAACACCGCTAGTCTGATACAGGGAACGACAAACGTTACGCCTTGATTAGTCGCAGCGTTGCCGCCTTGCACCTCCTCTACCCCCGCTCCGCTGTACGTCTTTCGAATCGGCGGCCCCTATAGCGACATGTCAACGCATGCAAAGGCAATGCCTGGACGCTAGGCCGTGGACAGGGAGGGCGAGAACATGGATATACAGCCGCCTTCCAGCGAGCATTGTCCGACAGGCTCAGCACGACAGCAGCAAACT